ATATTTTTTTCTTTATTGAGGAGTGAAATAAAAGAATATATATAAGAGGATATGCGCTATAGGAAGTATATGATTAGAAATATCATTATTATGATGAAAACCGCATTCTGCTAAAAAAGAAATTGGGTGATAGTGAGATTGTTTCAGGATTAGTGATACCGTTACCTTTTTCTAGTCTGCTAACACCTCCAATTACTTCATTATACTTCGATTCACCAGATACTTTCGAAATCTGCTCTGCTAAATGAGCATTAGCTTCTTGAAGAAGGGAATTTTTTTCTAATAATGCCTTTTGTGTTAAAGCTAAATTATCCTTTATCCGCATTAATTAATTTCTTTCTTTAGACAGAGTTTCTTCTAACTCCATTTTTTTATAATTTAGGGTAGTGTTTTCAGCAGATAGTAATATCTTTTCTTGTTTGAATTCACACTCAAGAGATTCCATTTTTGATAACTCATTCTGTGCTAAAGAAAGATCTTGCTCCAATTCTTTTACTCTTGATTGAAGAGCCTGTATCTCTTCCTTCATCTTGGATTGGAGGGCTTGTATCTCCTCTGATTTTATAGAAAATTTGCTTTCGGCATCTGCAAAAGAAATATCCTTGCGAGTGATCTGAAGCTTAAGGTCATTTATCTCTGAATATAAATATCTTATTTTATCTCCAAGCTTGGAGTTATCTATTTCTGATTATAACCGTATTGTTTCTTCTCCAAGCTGGTGAACATGATCAGAGAGCTTCTCATTATCTTTTTTGGATTTATCAAGATCATCCTGTATATGCTTATTTTCTTTTTTGGATTTATCAAGATCATTCTGTATACGCTTATTTTCTTTTTTTGATTGATTTAGAGAATCCTGTATATGTTTTTTTTCTCTATCTAAGATATCGTAATTATCTGCAAACTGATTTCACCAATATATAGCAACTTTACGATCTTTTTTTGCACAAGAAAGTTGTTCTTCAAGTTCTTTTCGGCTAGGAGGATAATAATTAACTGAAACATCTCCAAGTTTATTACTATTATCCAAATCTTTTAAAGTACAGATCTGGTACATTTTATTGATATTTTTTTTTTCTTTAGGTAAAAAAAAATTAGATAGATACCGCTAGAATTTTTGGCATTGGAAGCAAGATATTTTTTATAGATATTACTATATTGATACATATTGGTGAGCATTGAAGCTTATTAATATACATTGGTGGGCATTGAAATATATTAATATATATTGAAAAGTATCAATACACACTGAAAAATATTAATGCTTATTGAAGAGTATTGATACGCACGCATTGATATGCATTGATATTTTATTGAAAAGTATTAATATTTTTTCTAGTATAATAATCTAGTGAAGATGGTAGCCTGTATCCATGATACATATTATGATGTTAAGACAACCCTATTATCAGATGATGCTATCAAAGAAATTAGAGAATCCAGAGGTAGGATACCCAATGTATCAAAAAAAATGGCTAATAAATTTCCATATCGAACCTAAACGTGTTTATGAAATATAGGATAATAAAGAATGCCTCCAGCAAGAGGCCATTCTATCTCAGCCTGTTTTGGACGAAAATTTCAAGACTGATAAGTCAAAACAGAATCTTGAAGCGGTACCACCAGTATCATTTACATCTACTCTGACTATGAAGATTCCAAAAAAGAATGGTCAAAAAAAGAAGGTCTCTCTTGAATTAGAAATAAGACAAGAAAAAAATGAGAACAAAGATGATGTGCTCTCTAATAATTTGCTAGATATATCTCAAGAAAA